CTCAAAGTTTCTAGCTTGAGACCCTCACACACTACCCTGGAGAATCAGTCATTTCACTCACTTGTTTCAGTCCTGTCACAGCTTTCTAAAGATACAGAAGGCAGTCCAGGCACTCTCACCTCTGAAACCTGTGCCTAAACCTTACATCTTCTTTTCTGAAGTCTGTACCAGAGAACATGCTGTCAATCATAGATTCCTGACTTGACTAGTATATTGTTCTATCCTCCCTCACCCTACTCAAGGTACTGTGGATGGAACCACTAGGTAAGGAAGCCTACTATACTGTTGAGCTACTTTCTCAGCCCCACTGTGTGTCACAGTGTCCACACATTTTTCCTTGCAAATGTTTGTTGTAATCAGTCTTTGGTCTGGTTTGAGGCCTCTGGCTTCTGCTATACTATCAATCCTGGATCATCACCAAGACTCCTTTCTGATATCTTGTTGTTGATCTATGTATCTTTTTGCCTTTCCCATATATAGAAGGAATAAGAGGCAACTAAATAGGATCAAATTTTTAGCTCAGTATTTAGTAGGAGGGAACACATTAACTCAACTTATTTGTCTATAGAACCTTAAGCTCTTAAGATGAACTAATTTACAAGTAATATGTTGCACAAAAATGATTTGAGAAAGAGACCCAAGCACTTGCCCTGGCCCTGCCAGCCCAGGGTAGCCAGAATAAAGACACCCAAGCAAACATCCACCATGGGTGCCACTACAATAAGTATGTGATAGAGAGATGAGAAAGATGGGGTATGCAGTGGAGATAGAAGAGAAAGTGAGGCTGAGGGAGAGGTTCGTACACTGTGGCGAAAGGTGGAATTAGCCAACAGGTGAATATGAAGAACCTGTGCAACCATCTAAAGCTACGCCCCTCACCTGGACAGCATGGGAGAGCTGGCTCTGTAGTTGGGTTTGGGAGAGCTAGCCCTGCCTCTCACTGGCTGTAGCACTCAGGGTTAAGGTTAGCAGGTGGGAGAGCTGGCACTGGGGTTATGAGAACAGGAGAGCTGGCACTGGCCCTCACCAGCTGTAGCACTCAGGAGAGCAGGACCTGTACCTCGCCTAGGCAGGACAGTGGAGCTGGCCCTGGTGACATATGGGAGAGCTGTCCCTGTCTCTTGCTGGCTGTGGGATTGGGTGAGCTAGGCAGGGCAGTACTGAAGAGCTCGCCCTGGTGGTGCGGGTGCAGGAGAGCTGGTGTGCTGACTAAATCAGCTACTACCCAGGCCCAGATCTAGGGCTTTTAGTTAGCCCACCCCAATATCTACCCCATCTATGAACTGCTGGATGTGTGAAGGGGAGGGTCCTACAGGTCCAAAGCTTCAGGATCTCCACGACACAGGACAACAACAGGATATCAGAGAGGAGTCCTGGTGAGGATCCAGGATTGACAGTGTAGCAGAAACCAGTGGCCTCAAAACAGACCAAAGACTGATTACAACAAACATTTGCAAGAAAAAAATGTGTGGACACTGTGACACACTACAGGTTCCATGACAAGATGTGCTGTTGTTGTTGTTGTTGTTGTTTTCGTTTGGTTGGTTTTCTTTGGCAGGAGGAGGGGCTGCAGTGGCGGAGGGCAGATATGAGGGGAGGGGAGATGAGTGGGACTGGGGTGCAGGATGTGAAACTCACAGAGAACTGATCAAACATTAAAGGTACCTTTTTAGCAAAACTTAATTAATGTAGTCTGATGAAGAAATGAGGGAGACAAAACAAGCAGAGCCACAGATAACACAGTAGGAAGAAAACATGGCTGCAGTCATTTCCATCAATAAATTCAAATGGCCTCAAAATCTGAAAAGTATATACTCAGTTAAGCTAAAAGGAATGAACTATATTCCATCTAATACCTATGGTTCAAGCAGTAAGAAATAATTTAAATTGGTTGCTGGATATAAAGGATTTGTCTACATGTGTGATGAAAAGAAACTGTCCCCTCATGCCCCTGAGTGGAATTTCTGGTTAGGAGCTTAAATAAAAGTTCAATAATGCATTTAATACTTGATCAATGTCTGCATCCTCCAGTCAGGAAGAATCTTTAATTATACAAATAGTAAATCAGTTGTATAACTTTGTTTCCTTAAGATTGATTGCATCTAACATACAACAAACAAACAAAAAAATAAACAGTCCCTGGAATTACATCATAGTTGGCACAATAAAATAACATGCTAAGGCTTATCCACCATACAGATCTGATAGTCTCACAAATGCTCCTGAGGAATTTGACCTGTGTCCTACATATCTGGTCTCCATCCTCAGAACAAACCTGTGTCTCCCTTGGTCTTTAAATGCTTCCCAGTTATCTCTTGTACAACACAGGCAATAAAAATGTAAAAGCAGTTATTTTCCAAAAGAAAAGGCATGCAAATTAAAGTATGCAAATGGATAGTTTACAATTAAAAACTACGCTGGGAAATGATGATCAAACACAATGTGATCATGTCCCCCAAAGCAACACGGCTATTTATTATCAGGAGCTTACAAATCTTGGGGTCCCATGAGAAGTCAGTGAGGGGCGCTTATCAGTGTGGGATAGTGATGTGATATGGATCCACTGTGTGTGTATGGGGGGATGATTAGGAACAGGTCTAGGTTTACTATGGGGGGTAACAGGACAGGTCAGAAGTAATCTGTCTTACTAAAAAAATACTTTGTCTAGTACATTAAAAATGATTTTGATTTTTATTTTTCATTTTTTAAAAATATAGTTAGGTCATTCCAATGAATATTTACAAGTGAAGGTGTATGCACAGGAGCAATATACTGTGGGACACACTGTGACATTTTCATCCTTCCATGATGAGATAGTTTTCAATGCTTTGTTTTGTTTGTTTGTGTGTAGCTTTTTATTTGGGAGGTAGAATTGGAAGAGCAGAGGGGAGATATTGCTGGGGTGGGGAGATGAGTGGGACCTGGGGAGCTTGATGTGAAACTCACAAGAATCAATTAAAAGTCAAATGTCTGTACGTGCGTGTATGCGTGCTTGCATGAGTGTGTGTGTGTGTGTGTGTGTGTGTGTGTGTGTGTGTGTAATTAAGTCTTTTATAAATACAACAAGAAACTGGATGAGTAAGTGGAACTTTCTAGGCAGACATCACTTACTGCCTGTGACCCAAAAGTTACAGAGGCCTGTGAGTCGCTCAAGGGGCCTGCTTTAAGGTGGAACCTTAAAGAGCACTTGGATTTTCTTATCTAATGAATCACACTCAGTGTCGCACAAGGTTAAAATGACACACATTAATCAATTAGCTTCATTTCCTTGGGTATGTCAAGAACTATGAATGGCTCTGAGTGACCTATTTTTCCTTCAGAGCAAGAGAGTTGTACTTGACACCATGACTATCAGAGCATCAGCACATGGCCCGCAGTACAGCCAGCAGGCGTGCTGTGTCCAAATCACTTTACTCTAGCCATTGCAGCTGCAAGTGAATAATTTCAAGACACTCAAGAAATAATTTTTTAAAACTCATAATGCTGAGTGGTCAAAAAGCCTACTGCTTACTCTGAGCTGTCCCTGGGTCTTCATATTATTTTTCTCTGTGATTCAGACAAAGATTGGAAAAGAGATCAAAAACCTTCCTTAATATTAGTTTCAGTTTGCTTCTCAATAGTATAAAGTGAACTAACTTGATTTCTGCTTATTACTTCACAAAAACTTAAGAGAAAAGTCAAACATTGCTTCCTTCATATGCAATTCTTAATGACGTCACATATTTTAACGATAAAGTTCTTCGTATGTACATATAGTCACAGTACTATTTTATTGAATAAAAACAAAGCGCCTCTTCCCCCTTGCACAGATCTTGTAATTATGAACATGAAAACTTTCTGGAAATAAACTAGACATTTGACCTCAAAGCCTCAAGTCACAACATTTATCAGCAGGATGATTAATCTTCACGAAAGGCAGGAAAACAAGACAGAGCCACCCACTCTGACATTTTCATTTATTAAAAAAAAATACCCAAGCTAGTTTATGAACTGGAAGCATCATTTTTAAAAAGTAGATCGTCCACTGAGAGTAAACTCTGATGATATGATTAACAGATGACTATCTTTCTTCTTGTGTTCACTGAGGAAAGTGTGCGGCATTACACGGTGGCTCAGTTCTACCTAGAAATCTGATAAACTGGGCTCAGGAACTAGCCAACCTTTAGCAACAAGGCACTTCATTTTTTTTTTCCTGCTTATTTGAAAAAGTATAAACAAGACAGTGAACATTCTAAAGCACAAAGCTGGCTCCTCTGATCTGCATGCACATGCACATTTTTGCCTACATCCAGCAGGTGGAGCGCAAAGCAAGCAAAAGTTCTAGTTAAGTCAAGAAGGAAGGAAGGAAGGGCCAGCAGCTAGAGAACAGGATGTGCTTAGGCAGACTAGCAAAGGCAGGGCTGCAGTCATGAAGAGAAGACAAGAAGAGGCTGGATCAGCAGGAAGTGATCCCTTGCATTTAGGATCAGGGTTGCTCTTAGCAGTGCCCCAAGGCTTAATCCATCAGGAGTCAAATGGGGAATATTCTTAAGGATTTAGGTTCGACTTTTTTCTCCTGATTGTCTTGCCTGACTTTTGAACAGACCTTTTGAACAGGGTTAAGTAAACCAGTTCAATCATGAGAAAGCTTTGCTCCTGAGAAAAGCAGTGTTACATTTATATTTATTTATTTATTTATTTATTTATTTATTTATTTATTTTTTTCGAGACAGGGTTTCTCTGTATAGCCTGGGCTGTTCTGGAACTCACTCTGTAGACCAGGCTGGTCTCGAACTCAGAAATCCACCTGCCTCTGCCTCCCAAGTGCTGGGATTAAAGGTGTGCGCCACCACCTCCGCTCAGTGTTACATTTAAAGTGAGGAAGGAAATCATTCTCAGATAGGAAGGGTGAAAAGAGTGGGTGTGGGGCCTGGGGAACTGGAGCACAGGGAGCCAAGAGGTGCTGAGACAATAATGAGGCAAAGCTCTAGACTTGTGCATACCGACTACAAAGCACTTACCTGTGTTATTTTTTCTATTCCCTGGAAGTTGTGCTTTTCAAAATGTTCTGCTATGTTTAGAAAGGTGTGACGTTCTAAATAGCAGCAATTGCTCAGGACTATCAAAAGCCTCTGCTCCTATAATTCAAACAGACCATAAGAAATTTAGACAGTCCTGGTGAACTTACGAGATAACCTAATCTTGCATTAAGTATAGTGATGGGCTTCTGCCCTTTAACATCAATATCCAATGCCTTGATTTTCTTGGCTGTTTATTTCCTAAAATTAACACACAGAGAAGCATAATATAATTCCACTAATTGTTATTACATTTACACTGAAGATTTAAACAGGGATTTGGGGTAGAAGCTCAACAGTGAATTTTTCTCTGGAATGTTCTAGGCTCTGGGTTCTATATCCAATATCCTCCAAAGAAAAGAATCAAATGGTTCATTTAACATTTTATTTACACAAAGGCCACACAAGTTACTATTATGAAAAACTACATAAAGTATAGAAACTATTAGAAAATGGTTTATGAATCTTCCACAACTTCAGAGAACATGTTAATGCCATACTATCTATCTCAAGGGCTCCTTGTTCCTTCCTTGGCCCAGTAGCCTGAGGTCAAGTCCCATCCCATGTCCATCCCAGCCACCCCACAAGACAGGGGGAGGGGAAGAATGCCTCCTGCTGTTACAGTCTTCAAGGCTCTGTCTACCTAAACAATTCCTCACAAAATTATTAGACTGTAATTGCAGTCTAATGAATATAGTGGCTTTTTACAGTTCAGAAGAACTCTATCTGTAAATAAAATTCTAGGAATGGCCCCTGCTCTGCTGCCTCTGCGGCTCACTTCAGGGCAGCCTGGGCCTGTGCTCCTATAGGTGGGAGGCATTCTCTGGAAGGGTGACTCATCCAGGGCCTTCAGTGGAGATCCCTGACTAAAACAAAGGCAAAACCACTTTCCAGGAACAGTTCTCACCCACACTTGGTTACTCTTTCTGTGCAGAATCAGAGTAACTTACAGCTAAGTAAGTACTCCAGGGGAGAAAATGCAGAAAAACAGAGGTACCTGCTCTTTGAGGAGTCTCTAAAGTCACCAACCAAGCAAATCTATCTTCTGGTAATTATACATCTTCTCGCTTCTTCATTACAATTTCCTATCATTATTTCCAGCACAATGCAATCTTTTTACTGTCAGTTTTGGTCATCAATAGACATACATAAAAGCCTAGAGTACCATTAAATAGCCCAGAAAAACAAAAGGCTGCTGCTGGTAGCCCTGAAATAACTTTTAGATAGGAAATGGAATATAAAAAATGCCAGAGGAAGTCATACTCTATATGACATTATTTTTCCAAAGTGAATACATGGCAGAATGACAGAGAAAATAGAGAAAATAAGCTAGTTGGGCATGGTGAGGCCATCTTCCCTTCTGCTACCTTCTGTTGTATCATAACAACCTTCTACATGAAGTGAATGACTTTACAGCGGCCACTCCAAAATGCTGAACCCCTCAAATGTCTCAAGTGGCTTCGAGCCCATCTTTTTATTATTATTATTATCTTTATTATTATTTATTTTTTTAAATCAAATCATAATTTTTACTTATTTACACAGGGGTTATAAACACAAAAGGGCAGGACATGGGGAAGGGGATGACACCAGAGCATGGGTGTTCAGGGGGAGTACAGATATCTTTCAGAACAGGGTATCGGCTGGGTGAAGGTTCAGGGGACAGGTCACTATGACTCTGCCTATGATTCACTTGTCCTTATCTAAGTTGGTATTATCTGCCAAGGCTACCTATTTACAAGGTCTATGACTACTCAGGCTGGTAAATTGTCACAAAAGCTGCCTGTTTACAATAGCTTATAGCCATCTGTTTCAATGTTTTTCCACAGAGACCCAAGACTTGGTGTTAGCATACATGTATGACAGGTCTATTGCTGATTTTAGGCCTATGGCTGATTTTAGGCCTTCAGTGTATAAGCAGGGCTGCCCCTGTCATCTCCTCCTTTCTCTAAGTATAGAAGTCGAGCCCATCTTTTACCAGTTTTTCATTTAGGATTAAAACTTCCATTCTAGTTGACTGAGTGGCAAGCCAGTCCTGCCCTGTTCTCAAGCTGTCTTGACTTGGTTTTCCCATTACAGCATTTATGGAACCTCTTTGTACTTCAGAAATCTAAAGACTAACTCTCAACAAGTACATTTTGTTTGTATATGTTATATGAAACACCACATGAAATAAAAGTGTAACAACAGAGTAACAACAATCTAATTCTTAAGCTTAGAAGTTTGTTTGTACCTAGTATAGAGATGTACATTTGACCATAATAGTCCCTGTATATGAAGGAATGATCCTTACGTAGTACTTCTCTGGACTCCTAGTCACTACCAGTAATGAACACTCTTACCCTCAATGCCCCTGAGGCTGTGAATAGAAGTCTTCTGACTCAAAATCTATATCTTTTTCTTGCCAAATCAGTGAGGAATGCTATTCAATGTTATCCATTTCCTTCTGGATAGTATAACTCTGAGAAGATATGGGTCCTTTCAGAAGACCAGTCAGATCTGATGAGATCCCTCCACTAGAACATAGGCAGAGATTTTGGAAACCAATGAACATATCTTGGGAAGTGAGTGAACAGGTAAGATGCTGTGAGGAGCAAGAGTGAAAAGCCTGCTGGTGCACCTCTGCAGCACCATGGCAATGGGTCAAATGTAACCACCTTGCTCTCCTCTCTAACCCTAGAGAAAGATGGGAGGCTTGGAGTAGCACTCCAAGTCAGGGTGCACATAAATCAGCTGGGACGTGGCTGATGGGTTTCACAGTGTTTGCTGGGAGTTGGGAAGGGAACAAAGATCAGAAAGGTCACTGTGCATCACTAAGGCTCCTTCTGAGAGACCAAGAAAATAAAACAGTTAGGACAGGTGGTATGGTCTGAGTTTCAAGGCTCCTCCCTTCAGCTCCACCTCTCCTCTTCCACTGTCTTCCCAGATTCACATGGAACAGCTGGTTTCAATCCACTTCATGGCTTCCCTTAGCTCTTGCCACTTGCTCTTTCTGCTTGTTTTGTTTTTGATTAATACAAGCTAGAGTTATCTGGGAAGAGGAAACTCAACTGAGAAAATGCCTCTATCAGACTGCTTATAGGGATTTGGTTTTGCCTTTGTCACATAACTTATGTTCAAATAAAAGAGGGGCTCTGTGGGAAAAAAAGCAGAGAAAAGTAAGTTTGTCAGGCTGAAGAGGCAAATGACAGGAAGGAAATGCCATGCCTTCTGCTTCCTCCCCAAGGTCTATCCAGGCAAATCTGTAGCACTAGGAAACAACCAAGGTACCTTTTAACACTCAAGATGCTGGTGGTGTATTGGGTCTGTTTATGTAACTCCAGCTGAAGGTTTTTTCAGTGTTAAATACACAGAAATCTTTCTACATCCTAATGTAATCCGAGAGTATACCACAGTGAACACAGTGGGCATCTTAACATGGGATGATGCTTCTGGCTCAAATGACTTAGGCTGATTACCACAGCCACTCCCTTTAACATGATGCACTTTATACTCCGTGCTTGCCATTTTACTTACTGAAGTCAAACTGAAGTCTTCATGGATGCTTCCAAACAAATCAGGAGAAGAAACATCAACAGAAAGACTAAATGCAGAGGAGGCAAGAGAACAGTCACAATTAAAACAGACTCAAAACTACAATGACTCCAAATGTTTTAATGAAAATGGCTGTACAACTTTCTGTAGATTTTCTTTGTATTTAATTATTAATATCATAAGGAAGCACTAAGGACTACCTTTTATTCTGAACCATATAGAACTTGTTTGGGGGCATTCTCAATATTCAACTGACTGCATTACGTTTAAAAATAAATTATTAAATGCCAAAATATCAAATAATACTCATATAATTAAAATGTTTTTGCCTATCAGAATTTCCAGGGGAAGATTTGAAACCCACTTTCAGACTTATCTACTTATAGGTGAACTAAGAAATTAGTTGATAACTCAAAAGCAATCAAAAACTTAACAAGATCTAAGGGAAGAGCAGACTAACTAACCCATTAATTAATTTACAGATTTAACAGAATCATAAGTAACACTTTAACATAGTTTTTTGTAAACTTGACTGACTTGAATTTGTATGTAAGTCTAACATGATGAAATAGCAAATAATACATTAAAATAGAAATAAATAGAAATAAAATAAAGATAACAACCTGGAAAGAGTTGAAATATAAACAAATGGTAATTAAAATAGCACTAACTGATATAAAGTATATTTGAATAAACACAGCAGAAGATAAAGTTCAGAAATGTTGCAATACACCTTAGAATCCATCAATGTAATAGATATTTTAACAAAGTAACAGGAAAAGATTGATTTAACCAATGAGATCAAGGCTGTGAACAGTAACACAGTATTCTGTTGGGATAATGAGTCTCATATGAAAAGACAAGTCAAAGAAGACCTGGAAAAGGGGAACAAGATCAGGTAAGTGAGGGCCACAGGAGAGAAGCCACCTGGGCCAAGAGAATAAATGGAGATAAGCAACACTGGGAGGGGGTGGGGTCTCTAGAAAGTACCAGACACCCAGGAAGTGAGAGACTCTAAGGACTCACTGGGGGTGACCTTAGCCAAAATGTCCAATACTGGAAAGAAGGAACTCAAGGAATCCTTCTTTAGCAGATAGACAGGACCTCAAGTGGAAGGACAGGGTTATTAACCCACAGACAAAATTTCTGACCCAGAACTATTCCTGTCTAAAAGAACTGCAGGGACAAAAATGGAGAAGAGACTGAAGGAAAGGTGGTCCAATGACTGTCCCAACTTGGGATGCATCTCATGGGAGGGCACCAAGACCTGGCAGTATTACTGATGCTATGATGTGCTTACAGACAGGAGCCTGACATGGCAGTCCTCTGAGAATCTTACCAGCGGCTGACTGAGACAGAAGCAGATATTTATACCCAACCAATGGTCTGAAGTCAGGAACCCCTATGGTTAAAATAGGGGAAGGATTGAAGAAGCTGAATAGGAGGGCAACCCCACAGGAAGACCAGCAATATCAACAAACCTGGACCCTTGGGAGCTCCCAGAGACTGAGCTGCCAATCAGGAGCATATATGGGCTAGGTCAAGGCCCCTGGCACAAATATAGCAAAGGTCTGCCTGGTCAGGCCTCAGTGGGAGAAGATGTGCTTAAACCTCCAGAGACTTGAGGCCCCAGGGAAGGGGAAGGCCAGGGGTTGGGGGGAAGGTACTCTCTCAGAGGCAAGGGGGAGGGGGAATGGGATGAGGAACTGTGGGAGGGAGGACTGAGTGGGGGTGACTGGAAAGTAAATAAATGAAATAATAATAATAAAAAAAGAAAAAAGATCTATAAACATTAAAAATGTGGATTTGGGAAGGTAAGTGTGTGTTCAGTGCTTGTAGCCAATTATGAGGGGCAGAGTCAAATCTCTAGCTCCACGACTCGGTACGAATCACGTAAATACCAGGTAGGTGTGATAGCTCACCTGGAGTCCTTTAAGTACATGGCTGGTGGAAATGAGCTGGCTCAACAAGCTGAGTCAGTGAGCTCTGGGTACAAGTGAAAGACCCTGCCTCAACATGGCAGAGGCGTAGCAGAGAAGAACATCCATCATCTACTGCTGTCCCCAAAGTGCCTACAGGCTCACACACACACACACACACACACACACACACACACACACACACACACAAATGCATGCAAGCACACTGGGCATGAGTACATATATACAAATTAAAAAAACGTATATGGTCACTGGAGGTGATAGACCATGTGTCCACCAGACAACAGCATGTCAGAAAAAGAGCACAACACTATGTGTTGTTGCTCATGCAACAGTGTTGGGAGAGAACTACAAGTGTCTATCAAGAGTCAAGAGGACTCAGAAGGCTGGGGACCACAGAGAGAGGGGGAAGCCAAGCATATAATAAGTTCACACCAACCTAGGCTTCCTGTGAGACCCTACCTCAGTATGGAATGCATGCTTACATTTTATTACTCTTAAATGCATCAATAAGATTAATTCCATTTTTACTTACTGAGTAGTATCTATGTCTGCATCAGGCTTGGTGCTCAGTTGTTCCAGGCAGTATATAAAAACCTGGATTAAAAACAGCAAGTTTCAGTGATATAAATTTTCAGATATCAATCTATTTGAATATTAAAACAATTTTATATAAATTAAAGCAGAACTGTCTGGGGGAGAGGTGTGTCTAATAAGAATGTGTGTACATGTGCACGTGTGCAGGTGAGTATACATGCTACGTAGTAGAAATATATATCCCATCAACATCTAACTTCCGAAGTTACAAAATATTAATAGCACCTTGCCTGAATCATTACTATGTTCATGAGTATATTTTCGGAGAAAGACAGTTTTTCTTTTATTTACTCACACAAATGCTCAACTTCACTTATGTACCTACAAAGCACTGGTTCCAGTCAAACTACTTTACAACTCTAGATGAATTATAAGCAACAGATTTTTCATTTAATTTACTCTGCAATCAGAAGGAACTGAGTGCACAGTACCATGAGGAAATAGACAAGAGAACACAGGAGAAATGACACACACAGTTACTGCTAAAACAACAACAGAACTAACCCTATATTAAGCTTAACCTGTAGCCCATCTTACTCTAAACTCCTACGTATAGGAGAAGACTGTGAAAAAACCCGTATTTAGTAGTGATGTAAACATTAACAAGGTGAGTGACAAATCAATGCACGGCTTTGGAGCCTACATCACTGTTTGCACTTACCTGCATGATACTGATGCATAATTGGCAAACTTCCTCCTGCGTTTTAGGCTGTTGAAAGACCTATGAAGAAGGATTCAGATTAAAAAAAAGTTTTGATTTTGCTGAGAAGACAAAACATTTTACTTGACAAGTTAAATATAAAAGCTAAAACACGGAAAACCACACTGGCATCATTACTCTGAAGGGCTAGCCTTAGGTGGCTATCTACCTATGGTGGTTCTGATCCCCAGCTGGCTGACAATATCCAAGTCAGTAATTCAATCAGTCCACAAGGACCCTGATCTGCTTATAGCTGCTGGACTCACATTTTAACTGCCTAGCCTGCCCTGGAACCTGAACTCAAAATGTCTATGTAGGTAACTAAAAGAATGCAGTTAGTAAGAGAACACCAGTGACTCTATTGCTATTCCCAGGCTGGGATTTCTTAAGATCTCATAAAGCAGGTGGAAGGGAATAGAAACTCACGCTGGCTTCTCCAGGTTTGCAATCGACAACACCCTTCAATGACTGCAGGGAGTGAACAATGCTCTGTTCAAACTGACATGGCTGAAAAAAAAAAGAACAGTATCTTCAAACACAGACAGCACTGGCTAAATAGATGTCTTTATGGAGCTGAATATGCCAACAGGACAAGTCCCCAGATGGACAGAAATGAACAAAGACACAATCTGACCCGAAGTCTATGTTCACTAACAAGGAACAAATATAAGGTGTTCGTTCACACTTGAGGACTACATTGCATGTTATTAGTCATGAGCTCACTTTTCTAGGCAGGTCACCCTTTGTACTGTTATAACAACCATCTATAGGAAGTAAACGATCCTTAAAGTCAATTAAGTCATGGTACTCGTTTTCTACATATACTAAATCAAAAAAAAAAAAAAACACCTCACAAATACATCTAAACAAAGACACCCCAAGGCACGTCTCTAGTGAAAGTCCCTGAGAACAGGAGAAGAGATATGAGCGTAGCACAGGTGGGGGCAGGAAACCACAGGAACCTAGGGCCACAAGGAAGGACTGTGAACTGTCAGCATGGTTTCCATGAAGGGAGAAGCAGTCTCCAGGGGTCAGGGGCAGAGAGGGGGTTGGTAACCGTTGAGGACATATATTTACAGAATAATTTATTCTGTCCCCTTCAGAGGCTCAGAGTAGACACGCACAGCGGGTTGAAGTGTGCAGAGCTGCAATGCAGACTTTTGCTCCAAGTCTCGACCCTCCTTTCCTCTTGAGAAAGTTCTGAGATGAACAGCAACAAGGGCCATCCGCATCAAGCTCACCAGGACAGCTCCTTCTTCACCCACATTTGACTAGAGGATGTCTGTCGTGGCTGACCCAAGATGCATCACTTCAGTTGTGTGTTCACATGACCCACTGGGTTTAGTTCTTTTTAACTCTGTGCATTTTATAAACAAACTACGACCATGCTTCTCTAATATTCAGACTAGTCATTTTCCAGGGTTCCTCTACAATAACCAGGCTATCCAGCAGAACTCTGCTCTATGGAGCAGGCCATAGGAGGCTGTGCATGCTGATTTGTTGAACAGGAAGGAGTTCAAGCAAATCTCTTCTTTGTGCTAGAGGACTGAGTGTGCATCAGTTTTTAATGAAATGAGAACTTTAACTTTCTCAAACTGAACATATCGCTTTTTTTTCCTTTGCACAAAACTAATCTGGGACAGATACAGACACAGCCATTAAGCTGATGCTTAGCCTCCTACACCTATTTCATCAGTGGTTAATATCCAGTCATCCTCTTTTAGCATACTCTTTATGCCTGCTATGATTAATAAATAGTTGCCTGGACGAGATTTTGAGATATAGCAAGAAATAATTCAAACAATTAGCAAGGTGGCCTCAGTTACAACAAGCATTAATATAACAAGTAAAATCCTTTGTCCAAAACCTTGCAGTGAACAGTGTGCTATAGCACACAGAATCACATTTACTTCAAAGCCCACACTATGAAGGCGCATCCTGCTCCTTCTATATTAAGGGGGACTACGGCCAAACAGATCCCTGACTAGGACAGGTTCTGACTCTCAGTGGAATGCAGTACACTAGCCCCTGTGTCAGCACCAGTCAGCAGAGTGGTGTGTGCTAGGAGAATAAGCCACACAGGAAATGTGAGACATTCCAGGAACCATGTTTGACAGCTCAAGAAGAACATTTAATACAACTTATTTAACACAGCATCTCTTTGTTGGCTACCTTTAACAGTCCCCTTGACACAGTAGAGAGCCATCTGAGAGGAGAGTCTCAGATCAACAGCTGCCTAGATTGGACCAGCCTGTGGATGTCTGCACAAGAGTTGTCTTGTTAACTGATACAGGAGGGCACCACCTGCTGTGGGCAGCACCATCCTAGACAAGCTGTTCTGAGCTACACAAGAAAGCTAATGGGAAAAAGTCTACTTCCAGTCATCACGAACCTTTTCCATGGTTCCTACTTTACTTCCTACTGGCTGTAAAGTGAGTTCCTTGACTGAAGGCAATATTGTGTGGAACAGCTTGAGTCCTTTCCCTGACTTCCCTCAATGATGGCCTGTGGCCTGGACCGGTAAGCAAAAAAAATCCCTTTCTTTCCCTAAGCTACTTTTGGTCAGAGTATTTTAACACAGCAACAAAAATGAAACTAGAATATTTAAATGACTTTAACATATAATTAATATAAAAATATTTTATAGTCTTCTATATATCTCAAAGAGTGACAAGCTAAATATTATACATACCTCTATATAGGATAACTGATTTATTAAAAATAATGAACTTTCCCAGCTCATCTCTTGCATGACACTAGAAGTAGGCATGTCTTTTCTAAGTGTAAAGTACACTTGAATCCATTTACTTGACCTAGAGCAAAGCCTTGGCCTTCAGAGGACAACCAGCTACAGCTTCCAAAGTAAGTCTACCCGAAACCTACGCAGGGATGCCGGGAAAAGAAGATGCTGTGGTCTCTTGCCCCTGGCTTACCAATGGCTTACAACTTATAGGGCAAAGCCACTTTACTCTTGGCAGAAACTGGAAGTTCCACCAACTACAATTTATTGCCTCTTCCTTGCAAAGAAGGACATAAAAGAAACTGGCAGTAGTCATATACGCTGCCAAACAGCTTTTTCCTGGGGCACAGGGACACCTTCTGGCCAGCAGCCTCTTAAGATAGTGGCTATGGCAGCTCAGAGATTGCTTTATTTTCTTCCTGACAGGAGTAAGTCCAATGGATCCACCAGGAGAGCCACAGAGATCTGAGCAAAGTCACAAAGGCAGTGACCCTGCTGGCTGCATGACAAGCTATCTGGCCAGTGTGAAGGGAAAAGACAACCTGTGTTCTATGTCCTCTATGTTTCAGTAGTGACTCAGTCCCCATGGGACTGTTAGGAGCACCCCTCAAATAGGCAAGAAAACATGAAAAATTGTAAGATGCATTTTCAAAGGTACTTGAAATTCTAAACCCACTCGGAAAGAGGATGTTTCTAGATTAAACATATCAGCTTGTGCTTCTTGTCTTGGTTGGTTTTAGCTTTGGGGACAGAAATATCATTTTTTTGTCTTGACTTTCTGAAGACTTGAAGTTCCGAGGTGGTGTGGAAACAAGCACAATCTAATTAAAAAGTACTGCAAACTGAAGTAGTGCTACAGGCCACCTGACTGTAAACTAAGCCAGAGCTTTCACTCCTTTAGATGCCTGTGATCAGCAGTACGTAAAACTGACGCCGGGAAAGGATATTTTACAATTACTTTATAATTTCTATAAACTAGAATATAATGTAAAACAAATATGATTCTTATTAACATAAAAACATTTGTTCTATATAATAAACACTAATGACTAATAAAAAAAAATTCCAACTTACTAGGGAAGTCAATCCTTCATTGTCAACAATCCAATCTTCCTTCTCAGCTAGTCTCTTTATTTCTACATGGAAAACAAGGACACAAATACTTTCTATTATACTCATCTCATTGAACTTTGACAGAGACAAAATCATCCATGGGTTTGCAGCTTTTAATGATTTTACATATGTTTGTGAAAACAGAGATAAAACTCAGTATTGGTAGATTTGGGGATTTAGTTATGCTTTTTTCACATTTTCTAACAAAATGTTCATGCAATACATTACTAGGAGAAAAGCCACCTCACAACTGTAATTACTTATGCAGTGTTCTTCGCAATAGTGCTAGACATTTGTGCAAAATGAACCCTCAAGGATTTCTGCTCTGAGCTTGGTGTAGCTTAGAGTCTGTGTTGAGTCCTCCCTCTCATTCCGGGATGGTGGCTGTCTCTCACTTGAGTGCCAGCTGCCTAAACTTTCAGCAGGGTAGGCTTGCTTAGGTGCAGGAGGGAGGAATGTTTAGCTTCTTGCCTGCATTCTATTCGTTCTCTTTTGATACATGTTTTAACTTCCAATTCTACAGTGCAAGGCCCTCCCGACTTAGAATCCTGGTGGCAGATGATACCAGCCTACGCTGTTTATAACAATGTTCTTGTTTTGTTCTGTTTTTTAAACACTTAATACTTTAAAGGTCACTTATAAAAAATAACTTTTGGAGGATGTGGTGGTTTGAAAGAAAATGGCCCCCATAGGCTCGTAGGGAGGGGCACTATTAGAAGGTGTGGCCTTGTTGGAGTAGGTGTGGTTCTGCTGGAGGAAGTGGGCTACTGGGTACCTGCTTTGAGGTCTCATAAGCTCAGGTTAAGCCTAGCAGCTCAGTTCACCTCCTGCTGCCTACAGATCAAGATGTAGAACTCTCTGCTTCTTTTCTAGCACCATGTCTACCTGCAGGCTGCCATGCTTCCCACCATGATGATAATGGACTAAACCTCTGAAACTGTAAGCCAGCACCAATTAAATGTTTTCTTTTAAAAGAGGTGATGTGGTCACAGTGTTTCTTCATAGCAATAACACTGTAACTACGACAGTGGCTCTATACAGAAAATTCTAGAAATATAAAGAAAAGCATGTATAATTTCTAATATCCACAGAAACACTGCTAATGATAATGATGCTGATTTCATGTCAATTTTAAAATTAAGTTAGAAAATAGCCACATGTTTTTAAACTGGAACCATATTTTACATAAACTTTTATACCCAGCATTTTATATTTAAAATTTATTATAAAAGTATTCTTATACTCTTAGTTTCAAGTACATCTACCTTGATGTCTGCAATGTCTTAACTCTTAATTAAATTAATTTGAAAAGTTACTTTTATAAAAAAGAAAAAAAATTCTATTATACAGGTAGAAATGAATAAGTAGGTACAAATTTCTCTAACACTAGTTTTCTCTTATTTTCAAGGCTTTGGAAGCTGGAAGGAAGCCAGCTCAGGTAACTTTGTCTAATAAAACTAAGATACCTTCAGCTGTATGCTGCAACGTCACCATTATGCAACGTATACGGAGATCCAAAATTAGGTCCTGGATAATCTGTAACGTGTCATTGGGAATCTCCAGGGCGGTCAGTGATTCATATGTCAGCCTGGCAAACAAATAAAACACAGATGAGCAAATGGGGATCTGCGCAGTCTGCCTGCCGGGCTATCCTGTGCTTATGCCTCTTGGAGCTTATGAGCGACAGCATTAGGTTGAAACAGGAGAGCCCAGCAGGGACAGTACAGAGTCTCTGCAACAGATGAGTGCATGTACAGTATAACACTCTCATCCAGCACATACACTAGAAATACTTAAGAACTGCTTGGTTAGATTATAAGTGAGAAATAGAAGAATCAGGACAGAGAGAGAGAAAATAAATTCCTCACTGACTTATTGAGTGGCATATCTTACTCTGGGGTGTTGACTGTTTTAAAAATCACTAAAGCAAACAAATGTATGTAAACCCACTGAGCCTTTCCAATGAGCATGGCTCCCAAGTGTCCACACTTGCCTTATGGTCTGGATGACATGAGCGAGCCACTGCCCTGAGAGCTCTGCCTGCACCTCCCAGCCGCCATACTGCCTCCCGTCCCCTTCTCGGAGGCTGAGTGGGAGCAGGGCGCCCCGGATCAGCTTCACCAGGGAGTGCATTACTTCTTGAATCATTTTCTAGAAAATGAAAAGCAAAACTGCAATATGATCATCACCCTGGTGCAGTTTGTCGTAAATGATAAGAAAATATCTTGACTATAAAGTCTTCAATAATGCCGGGAGTGAAATGCTCTGAGAAGTTGACATTCTCACCCCTTACTTACCTTGAAATCATTTTGTCTCTGCCTCACATTCTTTGATCTTTCCATCTGGCCTGACTTCTCAGCAGTCTAAGAAATTGAAAAATAAAACTTAACCTGATTAAATGAAATGCTAAGACATAACCAGAAAACAAAAAACAAAAAAACAAAAAAACCTTCTCTTATTCCAAAAGAAGCTAGCCTTCAAAAAGAAGTTAGCTTTCATCTTTCTAAGCTCTGGTACAAATCTATGTACACACCCAAGAATCAAGTTGAGACTACAAATTCTGTAGGTGAATCAGGTGTGCCATTTCCCATCAACACTCCACCAACTGAGCCACACAGTGCATCGTGCCCAGGATAGCAGTTTTCCCATCACATCTCAACTGTCTGGCACAGGAACAAAGGGAGAGTGAATTCTGAGCTAATAGAGGAAGCCCCACAACATCTGTGCCAAAGGAAATTGGTAAATATTTGTCACAAACACAAGCACTACATCTGTCCTTTTATTTTTATTTATAAATTATTGTCTTCTTCGCAGTGTATCTTAGGAGTGAATACATTCTATTATTGTAGAGTTATTTATTCCTGTTTACTCATAAAGCCTATGTGTTCTTTACTTAGTGTAGTGTATGGGAGACTGTTTTCACAGTTAAGAGAAATCTATTCAACTGAACTTCTGCTACTTTCTCATTAGCAAATGTTCTGACAACCAATACTACCATATAAAAATGCCCGAAAAGGACAAGCTTATGACCTTTTCAGATAAAGAAGCAGAACGAAATTAAGCACTGTAGAACAAACTCTAATACTTCCTTCATTAACATAATATAAAATGTATCTGTTAAGTTTAAAAATCCCAGGTACTGTTAACTAAGTTTACAGACATGTCAAAAGACCTTTCAAGTTAAGAGGAGACGCATCACAAATAATTCCAATATTCCCTTGAGGTCAATGTGAGAATATAAGTTATGCTTTCTATATGTGCATATATTGGAACTGGTTTATCCAATGGACATCACTGGCATGAACGAGTACAAGAAGGGTTAGGCTGCTGTGCTGATTAAGAACCAGTATCAAACACATACATAGCACATACCCTTTAACTTATAAGTCTTAAAATTTCATATTAAGTTGTCATGTATATAGCACACACCCTTTAACTTACATGATCTAAAATTTCATATTAAGCCGTGAAGCTTTTATCATTCTTCTTTGTAAAAATATACTTCTGCTTTGAAACTTAAAAATTGTAAATTAAAAATTTACATCATAATCATTGAAAAAGCTAACTCCTGAGTTCACTACCTTATGCCAGTCCAAATTCTTTGCACAAGATGGGTCATCTCTTTTGCTTTTAGCACACATGAGAAATATTTTATATACTATTAAATAAAATACCAAAGTGTATTAAGTGTAGTAAGCAGGGAAATGTCAGAATTAGCCTGAATGTTGCAAGGATACAAGCCATGTGCCCAGGGGAGATACTGCCACAGCCTTGCCTTGATCTCTCCCTATGATGAACCAGCAAGACTTGCACACAACCTCTGGATACAAACTACACCTACTACCTTCTCCCACCTTGACTCTGACAACATGACAACCACTCCTATTCTTCCTGCACACACAGATCTATGGTTTCTTCCCATGATTCTCTCCAAAAGGCAGCTGACCCACTGTGCCTCCAGCCTCACCCCAACCTACTGACACCCCAGCCTGCTAGGACCCATGCCCTGCATGCCAGGGTTTTCCTAGGAACCTCCCCTTGGTGACATGTGTGTTGTGTGAACTCCTTTGTCTACTTCTTGAATGCTAAGGCTAAGGTGAGGATTATGCTCTGAGTCCCTCTTCCACCCATCCCATTACTGACCACTTTTGTTAGAAGCCTAGCTTTGTTCCTTTTATACACATTCACAGAATTAGGATGAGTTTTTAAGAATTAACTTTGATTTGACCTCTTCAAGAGGGAAAGATAGTGAAGTTTATCTCAGTCATTGTTTTATTTATATTTATATTTATATTTATATTTATATTTATATTTATATTT